AACAACAACAACAACAACAACAACAACAACAACAAGGAGGAGGAGGAGTGTTTGCAGTACTGCTGGTGTTGGTTCTCCCCCTTCTGTTGTTGGTCTACTCCTAAAAAACTCCGCTGCAACCAGTGACGCTGGTGCTGGTACTTCTGTGGCTTTCTTCCTCTTCTTGCTTTTCTTGCTGGTTCTTCTTGTTATCATCCCAAAATTGATCACCACCAGCACTTCTTAAGTTTCATAGCATCTGGTAGCAAAGAGCTTTGTTTGTCTTCCAATTCTCCTGATCCGTTTCATTATGTAGTTTTACTACTACTAGTAGTAGTACTAGCAGCAGCAGCAGCAGCACTACTAGAAGAAGAGATAAAATACCACCAGGGAACACCACCAAAAAGGGTTTGTAGAGGAAGAACCTTTACATCTTTGGTCGACGTTGCCAACAGCATTATACTCAGACATTACTTGTGACCTAGAGTTGATCATTGCTATCATAATACTAGCAACAGCAGCAGCGTTTCACATGTAAATTGTAGTTCGCAGAAGTAATGGTACTGGCAGGTACAAGACGACTCCGACAGACTACAAGTGAACAAAAAGAGTATGGTTCGAAGGATTTGTTCTCTCGAGACTCTGTACTATCGCTGATCCACGGTTTTCATACCATTCGAACAACTCGATGGTTCCGCAAGTCTAAGTATTGCTAATAGAATATGCATCTCGGGGTTTCGTAATACTTCATGACTAGTTTGACTGTGTCTAAAGTGAACCCGTCATAAATCACAGACGAGCAATAAGAGTGATGTGTGGTGGAAACGGAACTGTTTGAAAAGTTATTTGGTTTTTGTTTTCGCAAACGGTTTGGGGGTGGTGTTATGTAATGTAGTCTGGTAATAAATGTCTAGGTTTTCTGTTTGGACAGGGATCGATCCATCGAATTGATGGAGGTCCTCAGTAGAAGAAACCAAGAATTTTTCCTCCAGTCTTTTTGCGTCGGGCCTCTTCGTGGGTCATGATTCCGTATGTGGTGGACAGGATCAAGTGTCCGAATTGACGAGACGGAAGGAGGTTGACAACCCACTTCTCGATTTCGTGGACGGGGACATCGAATCGAGGAGAGATAACACCGCACTTGTTCAATCGGCCATTCAGTTCAATAACAATCTTGTTCGATCGGTGATCGTCAATGATTTCGAATTCCCCAATGTATCCTGCGAAAGGTAAGTTGTTGAAATGGTAGAGTACCAACGGCGCAACACACATAGGTTAGAATCGTATGGTCACGTGAGTGTGAATAGGTAGTCCCTGGTGTTTCATCTGAGGATTGAAAATGAGACCCCCCCTCCAACGGTCGGGTCCTTGCAAAGCTGCTGGCTTCTCGAGAGAGGCCGCGCGCTCGCGACCGAGTAGGGCCTTTAGCATATATCCTCGTGGGGTGCAGTTCGATTCGGTGCAGTGCTGCAATCCGCCGTTCTTTCTTGGGGCTTCGGTGCTGTCCAGATACCGCTTGTTGTCGTGTGGTTCGGATCGAAAACGCACCAGGAACTGAAGAACGAAGCATAGGGGACGGAATGAAACTTACCATGCTGTTGCATGCATCTAAGGAACTTGATAACAACCTTGGACGAAGGTCGGATCATGACCTGTCGTCGTCCACGCTTTTCGGCATTGGAGATTGTCTTGAGGCAATCGGCGAGTACTGACATGCGAACCATCTATCGAGTCGAAATACATGAAACGAGAACGAGCGTGTGAGAAAAGAATAAAAGGCTCAGGAATCGTCCAGGGTCCAAATCGGTGCCTGTGCCGTAGATTGATAGGATGTTTAACGAGAGGCCAGCTTCGCGATATGCCGCTGCGATGCACTCAAAAATCATGAAGGGATGTACCCGTCTCGAACATGATCAAGCAAAGGCAGGGTTGACTCTAGCCTTCGATCGACGGATTGGTAATTGATCGATATATCGATTGCCGCCGCCGCCAGTTACTGCAACGTTTGCAAGCAGCGTCCGCATCGCTCCTGGTTATCGCCATTCTACTGGCATGGTGTATACAACAATTGGTAGCTATTCCCATCCTCACCTTGAAAGCTTTTCTATTTGTTTACAGTATACTAATCTCCAACAATTCTAAATGCAGTCCGGGTCTTGGTCCTTGAATCAATGTGTGATGATTGAAAGGAGGTGGGTGAAGGAGGAGAGCAAGGTAAGGCTCGTAGTACTGCAGCCACTCAAGAGGGGAGGATTCTCAAGAAAGCACGCGATGCGTTCGTGGCGTGTAAGTTGAGCGGCTACCGACCGACGCGGTTAGCATTCCATGGGAGCCGTTCGTTGCTCCGTCCTCTGTTCCGCACCGCATATTTTTCACCTCTGGCGTCTTTTCGCATGTGGTGTCTGTACTGTAGGTCTTTTTCCGTGTTCAATTCCGTACCGTACGTACTATTGCGCTTACGCCCCATAATTTTTTGGTTTCGTGTGGCGGGCAGACGAATTCAGACTCCGGTTACCCCTTTACTGATTTTCTCAGTAGATACTGTGAACGCGGTTTTGTGTACAAATACGACTCACAGGACCAACTAGTCGGGACGAAACCTTGTTACCCCTTTACTACAGCAGGTGTCGCCAGGGGAAAAACGACATGGTAAAAATATTCCGAATATCCCTTAGCTCGTTACAATACAACTTGCTTTGTTGTTAACGTCAACACACTGTAGCATCTGTAAGTCACCATGAAGGTCGTCGACCATGTCTTAACATGACCATGAGAAAATAAAATTTGACAATATAAACTGTCTCCTGGTGGTTTTTTCTGGCGGGTACAGCAGGTTCTTGTGTCCTTGTATGCTGGCAAACGATACATCTAGGAACTCTGGAACATCGAATTACCTTTTGTTCTGTTTAGCCAACTAACGACGTTGCTTCATTTTTTTGACCTCCACAGCTTTGCGCACTAAGTCAATACACACAACAACTACAAATATGTCAGGTCGTGCCCCTCGCCTTCACGTTGATGCCGCTATTCTCGGTTACCAACGCGGACTCCGAACCCAAAACACMAATGTTAGTCTGTTGAAAATCCGGGGTGTTGACTCGAAGGAAGATGTCGACTTTTACTTGGGAAAACGTGTTGCTTTCATCACAAAGGGACACACCGCCGATAAATTCGGAAACAAATACCGAGTCAACTGGGGCAAGGTATGCCGGGCACACGGATCCAACGGCGTCGTCCGATGCCGTTTCCGAAGAAACCTTCCCCCCCAGGCCATTGGCGGAAAGGCCCGTGTTATGTTGTACCCTTCCCGTGTATAGAGAACTACAGTACGTACATCGCAGTCCGTAACACGCCGCTGTGTGCAGTAATGCGTTGTCAATGAGAGGCATCGCATTGTACGAAGGTGCTCTATTATTTAAGGATACCGCTTGTAACAATTAGCAACTTCCGATCAAAAACATACTTTAAACCCTTAACCCCTCTAAATAACTTATACTCCAAAATGGAGGTCAACAGTCATAATGAACCTGTCATCTATTTAGTCCGTTCGTTGAAACCAAAATCTGGCAACCCTCGGAGAAGACAATTTGAAGAAACTCTCACGCCGATAGTATCATGGCATTTCCCTGCATTTGTAATTGTAGTACAGGACGCAGTAGATGCAAATACTAAAACAAATTCCTATCCAATTTTTTGCGTTTCATACATCTACAAGAGACTGAGTAAAGAATTGCATTCCCCTCATAATGTGCGTTTAGTCGAAAGTACTCGTATCACTCTGTAGTGACACTTTTCGAATTTGAATTGTTTTGAAAACAATAATCACTTATGCCATTAGACTTTCTTTCTTTAAATTTTGGTACGTATAAGTTAGGGTTTGCCCTTCTTCCTGTAAGAAAAGGAATCCATGGGTGGGCGAGGGGAGGGGGGAATGAAATTTGTTTCGAACCATCCTTTGGGAGGATTGGTTTTGGGTGTTCGATAGAGAGTCACTAGATCTGTTTGGGCCGGTTGTCTTGGGTTCAAGATGGATTGAAACAAGGAGGAACAAAGCCTCTTCGCGGCAAGCAGATTGCTGCCCTTCTCGTTCGTTTGCTTGCACCGCGAGGCCACGCAGAACTCACCACACGCGGCACGCCGTTCTCCTGCTTTGGTTTCGGGCTTGGAACGGAACGCTATCTGTCTGCTTCGAATGAAACCGTTCGTCGATCCTAGCGATAGTCTCATTCATCGCAACAATCCATAGATTTTGTGGCACCTTATTGTGTGATAACAGTGTCTTATATATTATCATTGTCGTAGTCTGTTTCGTTCTGTGAAAAATAGTGCCTAGCATAGCAATTCTCGCTCCCACTACCGATTCGTACGAAACCACCGGGAAGCGTTCCGGGGTGGGCAGGACGGCAGCGTGCGTGCTGTGACACGGCGCTACCTCTTGTCCGCCGCAGCTCCCCTTGCCGCCCTGGCCCGTTGCTGCTTCTGCTGCGGGGTTCGTGTCTTTTGTTCCCTGGCCTTCTTGGCCATCAGCGCCGCCCGGACCCGCAAAAACTCGCAGGTCTCGGGATTGGCATTGACCGTAATGCTGATTTCGTGCTCGCTCCCGTTTCCTCCCTGGTGGCAGTCGTAGATGTAGTTTTGCAAATCGGTGGCGCTCCCGTTCCATTCGGCGTCGTTCACGTGCGTGATCACGTCGCCCCTGCGGAGGCCGAGGCGTCCGATCGGGCCCCGGACGGCATGGACAACGGCCACCGTCAGAGGATACGACGAACGATTCCCCGGCGGTGTGTAGTTTGGTCCGTAGACCGTCTCGAAGACTCGCTTGCTCCGCGGGGGGGGAGTGATGGTCCMGTCCCATTGCTGGTCCCTGAGAGTCATGTATCCCTCTCGGTACGAGTAGGCAGGTATCAAAAAGTACCCCGGCATGTGGTTCGGCAACGGGAATTGCAGCTTGGTTTGCTCGATGCGATCGATGTGCTTCTGGAGTTGTTGCTTGGTCATTGGCGGACCGCTGCTCTCGCCCCTGCCGCGGGATATGGTGTTGCTGGAGGGCGACAGGGCCAGCCGCCGGACCCCGTTCATGATGAGGGCGGCCTGTGCCACTTCCCTGGCGTCCCCGCCCGTGAACAAATCGGTCAGAAACAGTTTCTCGTCCCTGTTCATGAATTCGTCGAATCCCTGAAAGAGGGTCTCGTCGAGCTGCAGCACCACCGGCTGCGGTTTGGCGGCGGGCACAACGCTGCAGTCGGACTGCAGGACGACCTCGATGGAGTTGCGGCTCCCGCAAGAGCCGTCGCACCGGGGCTTGGAGGCGTCGCACCGGCAGGAGTTTGGCGGGAGCTGGTCCAGGAGTGCCGTCCAGACGGCCTTGGCCTCCGCCCGCCGGCGTTTCGCTGGTTCGGTGTCTCCCACCTTCCGGCTCGACACGGCCTTTTCGTACAAGAGAGAGGCCGCCTCCAATCGATTCCGCACGTTCTGCCTCGAGAACTCGGATTTTCGTGCCAGCTGGCTGGCCGATAAGTCGGAATCGCTAATGAGCTTGTAGGCAGAAGCCGACGCCAGCCCGTCTTCGCCGGACTCGTCCACGGTCTCCTTGGTCAGAATGGCAGTGGCCAGTGCGTGGGCACTACGCAACAGCAGTATGGTTTCCTCCAAATCGACGGGATACTTGCTGCGGCACTGTGGGCAGGCCACCGTGATCTTCACTTGGCGGGATCCATCCGAGGCGATCTGGTAGTCGTGCGAAGCAGCCTCGCAGAAGTTCTCGACGCAGTTGCTGCAGAAATTGAAATCGCAGTTGATGCAAGGCAACGGGTAGGTTTCCCGCTCCGAACGGGTCAGCGACTCCAGACAGATCGGGCAGGTGCAATCGCCGTCGGCGTCGGCGTTCGATGTGCTTTCCGACATAACAGAATCACACTCTGTCGTGGAAAACGATGGAAAAGTAAGTCGTCGCCGCAAATCAAATCGGATCGGATGGAAGAAATCGAAATCGAATCGAAATCGAGTTTGTTGTCGTGTCACGTTCGTTGCGAAAAAGCTGCCCAATATATCTGGTTGTTCGTTGTTGGAAATTTGTTCCTGTCTATACTGGGTCACACTCGCCGCACTTGCGCCGTGCTGCTCTGATCGAGTGATGGAGGAAAACGTGTGTTGCTGTCACTTGCCGAATTGCTCTGTTGTGTTTGCCTCTGAAATTCAACCGCTAAAAAGAAGATCGATAGGAAGACAGATGAAAGATGCGCCTGCGACTCTTGCCATTAGTGGTAGAACAGAACGGCACGTACCATACTGTTTCGCGATCCTTGGATCCTACCGTATTATTAATAATTCCTACCTAGTGAGACGGGACGACAATGCTGCAGTACTCGTACTGTCACCGTTGGTTGAGTGCGCGTTAAGTGGCAGTGTTTGCTCGCTTTGTACAGTTCCGTAGGCTTACCTTACGGCACGAGTACGGTGAGAAGCGAGGCGTGTGTGCTTTCTTGCTTTTTACCTCTTGAGCTCTTTCTATGCGATCGTACAACTATCCACTGTGCTTGTGCTATCTTGAACAGTACAGAAGGTACAAACCAGTACGGTACGTGCCGTACTTGCCATCGGTACATCTATCGGTCGCGAAGGATCCCTCTGTTTTTAGGCGTGCGTGCCGAGACCAATTTTCGGTCCACGTTTTGTTTCTTCAATTTTTCCCAGAACTTTTTTGCAATGTCTACTGCTGGTAGTAGTACAGGGCACTATCATAGCGTTGGCGTTAAAAAAAAAAAGAATTTCAATCATGGATTTTAATGGTTGATTCCCGTTAATAGAATGCTAAAGTAGCCTTCTTTTTAGCGACATAATATCGGGAATCAAAATTTCAAGGGACAGACAGCAAGGAAGGCAGGCTTCATCTCAGTCTTTCTGAGAATCTGGAATATTACATGTAGGACCTCCCACTCGCCCCTATGACTAGTAGAATTCTCTCTTTGGTAATAGTACTAGAAACAAATGGGGATGCTTAGGTGGCAACCAAGAAGAAGATAGTAAACTTATAGTACTACTAGTAGTTGTATGGGGGAGGAGTTGGGGGGTCCTACTAGTAGTGGTGGTATTTATCAATATACATGTACCTATATGCAGCAGCATTTAAAATGTACAACTGGATTGCACATTTTTTGCTCTGCCCACTCTAAAGGATACCATGATAGATTTGGTTAAGAATTGATGCAGTCCACCAGGAGGGGGGGGTCCTCTAGTATCTAGTACACCTGAAACAGCAGGCAAAGATAAACAGGAGGAAGGCAAAGATTACTAGGCTTCTTGTCTACAAAGGTCCTAAGTAAGGCCTCTTCCCACAAGCACTGGCTACCAAAGCAGAAGCTTTCAATTGTCCAGGGAAACATGGAGATGAAATGACAATCAGCAGCAGAAAAGGCTTGGAACACTGTGGAGTTAACCAAACCAAAAAAAAATGATCTGGGGATTGGATTGGAGGATCCAAACTGTTAGGGATGGATCTGCTCCTCCACCTGAAACACAATCCCCCCCTCTTCATCCACCACCAGATATACTTGACAATCACTCACCACAGGTCCAATTCAGGACAAGAAGTGGATTGAAGACTGGGAATGGAATATCATGAAGCCTAGTCCATACAACAAAGATTTCAATAAGACATGTGCTGGTTGTGAAAGGAAGATTTACTTGAAAAAGAAAGACAAACTAGGGAGGCTAGCAAAGCCTCTGCTCCCTGCAAAGATGAAGGTTGCCCATAAACATGAGTGCTTCCTTGGTGAGATCTATAGTAGGAGGACTGTAATGAAGAGGGGAAATAACTATACACTCTGTATGACTAAGTGTGGGGGATCTCAGCTTGTTGGACTGGTCCTTCTTGTGGGATTTCAATGAATGTTGTGGTGGGTATGAGGAGGAGTTTTATTACAGATCTAATGCTGATCCAGTAACAAAGGAGGACAAGCAACTGAAACAGCAACCAAGTCTACAACAAACAAAGCAGCAACAGAATCCACAACCAAAGCAGCAAAAGACAATCCGCAACCAAAGAATCAAAGTAATACTAGATCTCCTGTCAATATTTACTTGATTTGCTTTTAAATTAGCAATTGCTACTAGTACTACTTCTCAGATCTCCTACACTGTTTCCATTGGTCCAATTACTCCAGCACCACCAACCACACTGTTTGGTGTAAACTACATACTAGTACTACTAGCAACAGTCAGTTTATTGAGTTCACTGTTAACAGTTGCATCAGTACTGCTTGGTGGTGAAATAGCAGCATTTTTAATGTTAGATGAGGCAGTACTAGTACTGTCAGTACTAGTTTCCTCATCCTCAATATCCAACAAGTATTCCATGTACTCATATTTATCTCTCAATTCCTCACTGCTTTGATGCTTCCAGTTACTCCTAGCTTTCGTTCTCTTGTTATTCCTCCTCACCATTGAACACCAAGGTCGAACCATTCATCATTGTGGTGGTTGCTGTGACAGTACTTGGGGATAAACTCCCCATTACAATGCTTAATTTGGAAGTATGATTTGCACACCAGAAAGGGACTTTGCATGTGCTACAAATAAAATATTCTGTTGCACCTCCAGAAGCACTCCTAAGAGGAGGCACTCCTCAGAGGAGGCCCTCCCCTTTGGAGCAGCTACTAGGAGCATTCTTCTCCCCAGAAGTTATGGTTCTGATCATATAGTGCCTCTTCTAGATCATGAGATTAAATATAATATTAAGGTTTTTTACCCCTACAAATAATGTAAATTTCTCTCCCATGCATGTGACAAATATTTTGTTCCTGGATTTTGTAGGAGCCATTGTTGTGAGATGACTTTTGTACTCTGTCTCCTGCATCAAGGAAAATCTTGGTTTGTAGGTTGTGATATGCCAGCAGCAACTTGCCATTCCTAAGGAAAGTCTTGCGAGGAGTCTTCCTTCTGCTGGTAGCCCTGCCACCACTCCTGACCTTGCAATGGTATTGATTACACTGTCTTACACAAGTATCACAGTGGTTATCTTCCTGCTCAGCAACAGAGTCATACCTTGTCATTTGAAGGGTGGCTGCCCTCCACTCCTCAAGAAGGCTTCCATCAGTGCAGCACTCCCTATAGATGTCATAAGATGTGCCAATTGCTACTAAAGTTTTGGCACAATTGATTGCTGCATGATAATACTTCCAGGACTTGTACCCAATGTTTGCTCTAGAGATGTAGGCATCAATAGTATGATCAAGCTAACTGCAGGTGTACAGATACAGCTCACAATATTCATTCATTTCAATTTGCAGTTCCTCTTCCCCTTTCCTTTTGGTGAATGTACAATAAAGAACAGTGGACTATTGTGTAAACTTTGGTTTCTAGTAGTATCTCAGGATCTGCCACAACAGTCTTAACCACCAGTGCCATGGGTATTGCAAGGCTTATATGCCTCAACTCTCCTTCTTACATTGGAATATCCAGCATCACAACTGTCCTTAGGGAAGTACTTGCCAGGGACTTTGGGAGGCAGTCTGTTCTTTGCTGCAGTTCCCAACATTCCAAATCCTTGCTCACCAATTCAATCTGAGATGGAGTCAGAGAGGAAGAAGGTATCAGCTGTGACATGAGGAGGTGATTGTTGCAGCTTGCCAGGTCCAATATTAGGAAGAATAGGTCTCAACAAATATGGTGAACTTCAGTAGGACTAGCACAGGAATGCCTCTCATCACCAGTCTTCCTGCCTTGAAGTCTATGTTTCCAGGCTGCTCTAGGCACCATCCTATCAAAATCAGACATGACAACTGTTTGTCCACCATGAGTAATCATCTTTCCCTTCAGATAGTTCACAAGAGCACCACCTAACCCTTGGTACAGCAAACTAGTCTCACCAATGCAAAGAGCCAAGTCAGCTCTCTTGGTGAGTTAGTTGATGTGATTGACAATAGTCTCATAGATGAAGTCACACTTGATATAAGCAACTTTACCACAATTGAGGGTCCCATGGCAAGAAGCTACTCTCTCCTTCAAAATATTGGGTCTCAATTCCATTTTTCTCATGAATCTGAATTTCTTGGTGGTCTTGATTGTTTTGAGAGAGAGGGACAATTAAGGATTTTTTGGGGATTCAGATACTATAGTTCAAAACAAATACATTACATTTCTGAAATCTCATGTTCCAAATTATTTGTGCAGGGCAGGGAAACTTGAAGATGTTCCTGCTTATGATTTTTTCTCTAGCTTGATCACCACAAAAGGAATCAAATCAAAGAAGAAAACAGAAATAATAGATTGGTCAACTCCTCCCACACTCTGCAAAAAACACTTGAAAATTTCCAAATGTGAGAAACCAGTAATTCCATTGGTAAATTTTTAAAGTTTCCAATTAGTGAAAGTGTTGGAGGCATCCCCATTGATGTTAACACTGATCATGTTTTGGGGAAGCACTTTCAGTGGTACTAAGGACTCTGCAGGCTTGTATCCTGTACTCATAAATTGCAAACTGGGAGGGGAGCAAACAGCAATCAGCAAACTAGTTTAGTAATGATAATAGTAATGGGATTGTTATTCTGAATCATCTTCTGAAGAGGAAGAGGAGGAGGACAATGATAACAACCCACTTCCTCTTCCAAGGTCAAACAAAAGCACCAGCAATCTCAACAATCATTGTCTTGATTTGTGCCATACTTTGATGTGACAGTTGCTGATTCAGTTCCATGGACTGGTGATGCTGTTCCCTGGACTGGATAGCAACAAGGCCTTCTTGCTGTTACAGGGACATCTGGAACAGGGATTGGAAGTTGGTGTTGCTACTACTGCTGATGCTGCTTCTTGATGCTGAGCATCTTGAGGAGTATGTTCTCTTGGCAGGAGGATGTGCTGGGGATGGAGTACTCTGAGGAACAACATCTACATTAAAAGCTTGACTGGCTTGTGTTGACTTTTAAGAGGCTTGAGCTGACAAGAGTTCTAAGTTGTGGGTTGGTGTTTGTTTTTGCAGCTGAGTCGGCATCTTGTCACCAAGCTGCTGCGTTGGTGCCATTTCTCAAGTAACTTGAGAGAGCTGTGTTGGTGTCATTTCTTGAGTAAGTTGTGAAGGCTGTCCAAGAGGAGGATGACTTTCAGTGTTGTTGTTGTAGTTCTCAAAAGTGGTGTTATCCTCACAAATAAGTCCACTTTAGCCTTGGCACCAATGAGACGCTTGACCTCCTTTGCAAGCTTGATGGCTGGAGTGATGTGCAGATTC